CCTGATTCCCTTGCTCCTAGATGCATGCTTATGCTATGCGTTATCTAAATACACACATTAAAGCCCCTGGAATAGCAGTTTGGCCTATTGCAGACAAATTCTTTGTCTCTAGGAACATTTCTGGTTTGAGTTTTGTTTTTTTTTTTTTTGGGGGGGGGAATCAAAGTTTATTTATCAAAACAGTGAAGTCCAGTGTAATTGGATGTGGCTAAGGGCAAGAAGTTAGTGTTCACATTTACAGAATTCGAGTTGATGTGTTTCAGTTGTGGGAAAAGAGAGAGAACTAACAATTCTAGCAAATCAGGGACTATTCACTCTCTCCCCAGCATCGCACCCAGTTTCAGTATCCCTTAACTGTGAGCATGCAGACCCAATGCTGTACTGCTTCTACCCTGGATGCTCATTATGTCCGAATGCATTTATCATTAAACAAGGTGCAGCCTGCCATTCAGTTGATATTGGTGTATTACTTTCTTGGGATCAATAAACTCTGTTTATTGTAATCAATACATTACATGAACAATACAATTTTCTTATTGCTGTCCAACCTTTCTCAGACTGCATTTTGGCCAAAATAAGAATACATCTGGGTTTGCATTGTGAAACTCTTCTTTGACCTTACCCAGGATGGCCACAGGCATGTAACCACTCAAATTATGGTAATCGAAACTCTGATTTTTAGGCATTCTTAAACATGCATTTCTTGGGGAGCTATGGGAGAGAGTTTACTGAACTGCAAAATGCCTATGCATAAGGTTCTATTGTCTTTTATTTTCACTGAATGGTATCAAAATGATTATTTAGTGACTGTCAGAGCTATGTGTATTTTCTGAAAGTATTTAAGAGTTTCTAAGTGGTATGAGGCCAGTAGTCTCTCTTAACTGCATTGTCTTCTACCAACACCTATTGTTGGCTCCAGAAAAATGTCACATGCTTGCTAGCCAGGCTGGGCCTTAGCCTGTTAGTGCAGCGCCTGTCAGAAATCATTAGCTACTGATCTCTTTGACTAATGTTCCAGTTGATTGTCTGATTCATGTTCAGGATCTGTAAATGAGGCAGAAGCATCTTTATTGCTTACCAGCTGTGAAATGGCTAAACACAGCTAGATTTTCAGAAATCAAAATAAATGTATTTCCAATAAAGTTTGACAACAATATCAAGTGCAAAGCTGAGACCAGAGCTATGGGTTTGTGGTTTTTAAAGTTACAGTATTATAAATCAATATTATGCCTTCATGTTTTTGTCAGAGTAATGTATTTTACCAAAATAGCAAAATACTGGTAGTAGCATTAATCTTGTGTCGAGTTGGATAGATATTCTTCATTCAACATAAATTCATACCTTCGATTTTTACTCTTTTGTCCATTATCTCCAGATGTGTCAATGTTTAGGACAGCCTATGGCCTTTTGTCTGAGTCCTCAGTGTATGCTAACAAGGTATGTGCATGTTTTTGCGTATGCATAAAAGAAGTACAGGTGTGACAACAACAAAAAAAAACAAAACTGGGGTTTTGAAGAGGGAGAGTCTTAGCGGAGGAGCTGTTTTATATTAATAGAATAACCCCACAAGGGTCATACTGGCATAATGCTGAGATAACTAGAAGCAAATCTGCTCCTGGGATCTGACTAATATCTTTCTTGGCAAAGGGGGTAAACATGAAAATCACCGCTATCTACAGAATCAGTGCAAGAGCTATATGACAAATAGGCTCTAGTTTGAGGATTTAATCAGAGCTTGTTACTTTATCTTTGCACTATAACTAATTGTAGCCACAATAGATTTACAAAGACCCAGGAAGAGAGTTGATTTTGGAAAGAGGTGCTCCCACAGTAGCTATCGTCCTTCCAGATGCACTTGCGTCCAGCTTTTGTTGCTGAACAGGAAAACAAGGGAAATTGTGCAATGCATCCTGTTGTTTTTTTTTTTTTATTTATTCCTATTTTGGAACCATAAAAACTCCTTTTTCTCTTTCTCCCTTTCTTTTCCATTTCTTTCCCCATTTCTCTTTCTTTTCACCTTTCCCTTTTTCCTTTTTTTTTTAACTCTGCATACACCAAAATAATACTGGATAGCATATAGGACAGTTGTCTGCAATGTGGAAGACAAAGTTAGAGTCTTCACCCTGCCACCTTCCCACATTCTGCGTAAATAAGAACAAGCAGTTGAAATCCACTGTTCATTTCTTTATGACTTTTATTGTCATTTTATTTTGGGTTTTTTAGCCAGCAATTCTACTGTAGACCCACAGAAGTATGAAGTTTGAGACAGTGTGCTTTGTCATACAGAGCCAAAAATTAATTCATTATCAGAATCAGTGCAGTTTTCAGAATTTTTATGTTGTTAAACTTATCTTACATTTTCTTTTCAGAGGGAGAAAAAAGTGTACATTATTCTGATCTGTTCAACTGCATATACAATGGTATTTTTCTACTAGTTGCTAGGAGTATCAAACTCTCTGAAACAGTATGGAAATTTTATAATGGAGTCCAGCATGATCAGGATAAATTTATTGCAACAGCTTCCTTCCTCAGAAATCTTTGTACATAGCAAAATAATACTAAAATAAAAAAAAAAAGAAAGGCATTTTGCCCCTTCAGTAACTCTAAATCTCTGAAAACGTTGTTACCAAGATGACATTTTAATGCACAATACTGAAGGAGATGAATGTTATTTTAATAATGACACTTTTGTTTCTCCAACGTTTACATGTTAATCCAGCATTTCATCCAGCCCTATCTCCACTTCTTTTTCTATCCTGAATGTTGAAGTTAAGGCATGAACCATAATTGAGGAGGCTCCTCTGCACTTGCTCTACATAAATGGATACTGAGCAACTGTAGTGTACAGGGGCACTGCACAGCTCTTTTCCATCAAGAATACATCCCTTTCTGTGTCCGTATGTAATATATGAAGCTGGAGGAGTTACTTAAAATACAAGCATATTTTGTATTATATTTCTACTTCTAATACATGATATTTTCTATTGTAATTTATGAAGATTTCCTCCCTTTCATGTAGATGATTTAATTATTGTTATTTAATCATTATTTAGAGTGAAATGTCTGATTTGTATAACATAGTAGTAATCTGGGACCAAAATGGGCACTTTTCATCAATACAAATAAGTGGCTTTATTTATTTACTTACTTCTTTCTAGCAACTGTTTCAGGGATGCAGTGAACCAACTTTTTACTCTAACTACTCTGTCTAGGTTTTCCCTTGGTTTTAGCTGTACTTTTTAGGCTTTTTCATATCTTTAATAAAAAGAAAAGTACAGTAGCCCAAGCCTTAGGCACCAAAGTAAAATTCCTGTGCTAGATAGTAACAACCAGAGGCCTAGTTAAATATTGCAGAGGACAGTTTAAAGTCTTTCAGGATTTCAGTCCTGTACATAAGAGTTTTGGAAACCTCCTGACACTTTTATGGTAGGTTTTCTTATATGGACACAATTACTACAACAAATGTTGTAGCTCCTCTGGGTTAAATGCAAACCCAAGAACTGTTTTTTGGACACTTGTGTGTATCTCTGATATCATCCTGGAGTATTAGAAGGACACACTACAAGCTTTGACAACTTTGAGTTTTGGGCGAGTTCTGAACTGATGTGACAACTTACTAACTGAGGTGCCTTTATGCTCTTTTTGTCATCTTGTGCATTGAAAATGACTCAATTGAGAATGACTCAATTGAGAATGACCTTCAAGTATAACATGCAATGCTAATGTACCCGAGAATATAACTGGTAAGAAAGTACTTGAGTATGGTAAGTAGTGCAGTGCATATTAATAAATGCTACTTTTTGTGCAGAGCTTATATAACAAAAAAAAAAAGAAAAAAAAAAAGAAAAAAAAAAAATAGCCTTGTCCAAGGATACTCCTGCATGGAGTAAAACTCTTTCAAGAACTAGCAAATCTGAGTAGTGGAAACTGGTAGAAATGGTGACATCCACAGCATTAGCATACACAGCTTATTTTCTTTTGACCCGTGTACTTTTTTCAATGACAGGGGATGCAGTCTTAATAGAAAATGCCCTATCTTTTATCTTAGTTTAAATAGGCATCTTGGGGCATGCACGATACTGTCATATGTCCCTGGGTATCTCCCATCCCCCTTCAGAGCTGGTAAATGACATTCACTACTCCTTTCTTAGAAATGTGCAAAAAGGATTTCCATAGATCGTCTTTGGAGATTTGCTGTTTCCTCATGTGTGTAATAGGTTGGGTCAAGCAATAAAGAGGAGGGAGGAAAGAATAAGATTTAATTTTATATGTACTCTCCCATCATAACCATTGGAAACAAAAGGGCTGAAAAGAGAAATTATGCAATAGTAGTGATGGCAGTGTTAAGATCATACATTTTTATACAGCAACTGTAAGCCTATGGTTAAGGAAGTGGTCATGATAATGGAGCATTCCCAGCCAATGTTAACAAACTGCTTGTGTGTGTAAATAGTCATAAAAATAACAACTTTATCTGCATTTTTTTAAGGCAACATAAATTAAATGAATAGCCTATAAATTATTGACTTCCCGTGCATCCAGATTCTACTAAGAAAAGTTGTCAAGTTGATAGTTTAAAGAAAGAAAAATATTAAGTTTATTTCATCTTATCATTCTAAAACACTATGAATGCAAAAGATACCATCTTCAGGTATTGATTATCAGACATTCATAAAAGCACAGCCTCTTAAAATCTTTTAAATTATGGATAAGGAAATTTATATTGTGAATCAGGTAATATCCCTTTGGCTTTTGCAAAGTGCTAAAATACAGGGATTTAAATGCAGGTTATATCTCTTTAATTTGTAATTATTGAGTAGTTTCAAATAACTATAAGTCATGATCAAAAACTAGTCCCATTACAGCTAATTAAGGAAGAAATGTACAACTGGGAAAACTTTCAATTTTGTGTTTCATATGGACAGAAAGACTGAAAAAAAAAAAAAAAAGTATAAAATCTTAGCATTGTATTTATTGGGTTTTATTTTCCTGTTTCACAGACTTTGGACACCTCTGTAAAAATCTTCACACCACTTTGTGATTCTGCTGGCCTAAGCAGAGCATATGCAGCTATAGCCAAGATCCTGGTAAGGTAGGTTAGGACATCCTTGTCAGTGCAGATTCATTCAACTGTGAAAGACTTAAATTGTTAGAGGTCTGTCACTTCCCATTACTGACTGCTTAAATTTTAAGCAGTGCCCTTCTTGCAGTAAGTGACCCTTTCATGGAAAGTTATTTGAAGCTGGTACATATTTTCTAAAGTGTATGATCCAAGCTTTTCTTTACCTGTAAACTATAATATGTCCTTTTCCCCTCCCTACTTTGGGAACTGTGGTTTTTTGTATGTTTGTTTGTTTTACCCAAGACTGGGAGAGATCTTACTGGAAAATGGGAATCCAGGCATATTTTCCAGGTTAAAAAGACTTTAAAGAATGTAACAAGCTTCAGCAGGTGTCTCAGTGTAATCTCTCTGAGCTCTAAGTTTCTATTTATTGTACTTTCTTCTGTGGAAGAATTTCTAGTTTGTACATGTGTAACTAGATACAAATTTGTCACAAATAAAATGTTTGTCTTCAATGTTTTCCTTTCAGCATCTGAAATTAAAATCTAATTCCAGGTGAATTTTTTTTTAACTCTTCAACTTGTTACACAAATAATTTTGAAATAAAGTTGTCTAATGTAATTATCTTATGAAATAAGAAACATAAAAGAGGTTAAAATTAAGGTTGCAACTTATCCTTGATTCCTCCTATGTTTGGGGACTTCAGTGCATATGATGCATGATAGAGGTTGGCAATTTTTTTATAGAGGAGGACTTCTCACTAGGTTTATTTCAGCGTACAGAGAAAATTCTCCTGTCTGAGTTAGCTCCCTTTTCTCTCAGAGCACATAGGGGCTAGCAATAATCACAGGTCTCTTCAGTTCCCTAATATATAACTTACAGCTACCACCCTCATTGTAAAATATTTCTTCCTAACATCTAATCTAAATCTACCCTCTTTCAGCTTAAAACTCTTACCCACACAAGGGTATCACAAGGGTATCACAACAGGCCCTGCTAAAAAGTCTGCCACCATCTTTTTTATAAGCCCCCTTAAGGTACTGAAAGGCCACAATAAGCTTTCCCTTCAGGCTCAACAAGCCCAACTGTCTCAGCCTGTCTTCATAGAAGAGGTGCTCCAGCCTTTCTGCGGACCTGCTTCAACACCTCCCTGACCTCAACATGTCTTAGCATAGCTTCTGGGAGGATCTGCTCCATGATTTTTCCAAGCAGAGAGGTGGGACAGACAGGTCATTAGTTCCCATGGTCCTCATTTCTACACTTTTTAAAAATAGGCGCAATGTTTCCCTTTTTCCCGTCACCAGGCACTTCACCTGGCAGCCATGACTTTTCAAATGTACAGCCAATTCTCTTGGGACTCTGGGATGCCTCTCATCAGATCCCATAGGCTTATGTATGCTCAGATTCCTTGGGTATTCATAAACCTGATCTTCTCTTGCAGTGGGAGGGATTTTGCTCCCCTAGTCAACATCTTGCAGTCCATCCACTTGAGAGGCGTTAAAAGAGAGGTTGCCAGCGAAGACCAAGACAAAAATTTGTTGCGTACCTCAGCCTTCTGCTGTCTGTTGTTACCATTTTGCCAGGAGTAGTCATCAGGGGGGTATGCTTTCTTTTCTGGCTGACATACCTTTAGAAGCCCTTCCTGTTATTCTTTGCATCCCTTGCCAAGTTCAGCTCCAGCTGTGCCTTGGTCTTCCGGACCCCATCCCTACATAGCCAAGCAGCATCCCTATAATTTTCCCAGGGTATGTGTCCCTACTTCCACTGCCTGTGCATTTTCTTCTTGCCCTTTAGTTTGACATGCGGGACTTGACTCAGCCACGCTGGTACTTTGCATTCTTTTCCTGATTTCTTACACCTGAAGATTGAGAGCTCTTGTGCTCTATGGAAAGCATCCTTAAAGATCTGCCAGCTGTGTTATGCTCCCTTGTCCTGAGGACGGTTTCTCAAGGGGTCCTATTGACTAACTCCTTGAAGAGCTAGAATTTTGCTTTTTCAAAATTCAGCATCCTGACTTTATTCCTCACCTGACCCATATCCCTCAGGACTGTGAATTCCGTCAGTGCATGATCCCTGCAGCCCAGGCTGCCTCCAATCTTGATGTCATCAATTAGCTCATTTTTGTTGGTGTCTAACAGCGCCAGTATCACATCCCCTCTTGCAGGGCTGTCTGTTAGCTGGCTTAAGAAGTTAGTCTCAATGCAGTCCAGGAGCCTCTTGGATTGCCTGCAGCTCACTGTGCTACTTTTCCAGCAGATGTCACTATGGTGAAATTCCCCAGCAGGACAAGAGCCTGCAAGCGCAACGCCTCCTGTAGCTGGAGTAAGAAGCCTTCATCAGTAGACTCCCCTTGATTGGGTGGCATGTATTAGATGTTTCCTTTGCTGCCTTGGTCTCTAATTCTTACTCATGAGCTTTCAACCTGCTTATGGCTATTCTTCAGAGACAGCTCTTCACACTCTATCCATTTCTTGATGTAGAGGGAAACCCTTCCACCTCTCTTTTCTTGCCTGTCTCTTCTGAACACCCTGTAGCTATCAATAGCTATACTTCAGTCATGGGATACATGTCTCAGGTAAGATATATAATCTGTCTGTGGGCCTTATGTCTTCTGTAATGCTTGAACTCCATGACTGAGGATCGTAAGACTTGTGAAGCTTTTATCCATTTTCTTCAAAGGCCAATTCTGTTAGGAGGTGTAACAGATCATGAAACACCATTCCATAAAACCCATTCATTCATTGTTTTAAGTAGAAATGGATAAACTCCATTATAACTTTCACTATATCACAAGCAGCAGAAATAGCTGAGTAGCCTGTAAAGTATCTCTGACATGAGAAAATAGCACAAGCAACATTTGAATTGAGTGTTGAAGAAGCTGTCCAAATCAAGGCTGCTTTCGATTATCTTTGAAAGGCTGTAGCAACTAGGGGAGATTTCTGAGGACTAGAAGGTTGCAAATGTCACTCACTTCTGTCTTCAAGGGAGAGGATCCAGGAAACCTCATGCTGGTCAGCCTTGCTCTTATCCCTGAGAAGGTGACAGAGCAAATGATCCAGAAGCAATTTTCAAACATATTAAGGACAAAAGGGTGATTAGATTTAATAATCCAGGGAATTTGTACTTCACCAACCTGATAACTTTCTATGATAAGATAACTGGCTCAGTGGATAAAGGAAAAGCAGTGGATGTTGTTTCTCTCAATTTTAGCCAGGCTTCTGTCATTATCACCTATAACCTCTTCATAAATAAGCCGATAAAATATGGCTTAGATAAATAGAAAGTGAGGTACACTGAAAACCAGCTGAGATGCTGTTCTTCGAAGAACTGTAAACAGCAGCATGAGGTCCAGTGGGAGGTTAGTTAATAGAGGTGTACTCAGACAGTAGTACTGACACCAATACTGATTACGATCTTCATTAAGAACCTGGATGATGTGACCAAGTGCATCCTCAACCTCTTTGCAGACAATACAAAATAGAGGAGAAATGATTGATCCATACATAGGTGGCTGTGCTGCCCTTCAGAGGGACCTCAGCAAGCTGGAGAAATGAGCCAAAGGCAGTCTCATGAAGCTCGGGAGTGGGAAATGCAACATCCTGCATCTGGGGACAAATAACTCCAGGCACCAGCCTAGGCTGTGGGCTGACTGGCTGGGAAGGAGCTTGGCAGAGCAGGACCTTCAAAAGTCACTCAAAATTCCACAGGCCTCCTCTAGCTGACCTTGCTCTGAGCAAGGTGAATGGAGATAGCTCTGGAGATCCCTTCCAATCTTAACTATACTCTGATTCTGTGTTGCTGTCTTAAGCAGTCCTAGATAAATTGTTTTGCCATGTAATGCTCTCTGGCAAAACACTTTTGGTAACCCAGTGTGATGAATATTTCAGGCAAACCTACTTCTTAAAATTCAGTAACAGAATTTTTCATGAACAAAATCATGCTGATCTGACTCTACTGATTCTTCCTTATAGGAGGAAAAGGCAGAGAAAAATGGTTTGAGAAGCCAGCGTAGGGACATTTAAAAAAACATTTCTGTTTACTTTCACACCAAACTTTTGGATATTTACTTGTCTGATTTATAACAAGCAAGCAAATTTCTGTCAAGCCTGTTCAGAAAACATTGGATAAGTGCATGAATACATACTGTTGGTGACATAATTTCCATACTCGGCTTGATCACTTTTTCTTTACTTGTATTTTTATCTGATCTAGGCTAGACTTGTGCAAATAATAATTTGATGTGTAATGTCTTTACAAAGAAAAGATGGCTGTTTCTCTAAAATAATATGTTTTAAACATAACATCTGAGAGTTCACACTTACTGCCTTGTGACAGGTTGTAGGAAGTCAGCTGAGCCTTCCTAAATCACTCAGAACTTGTCTATAGCTTTGGAATATTTTGTGAAATCTATTCCAGATGTTTTCACAGACCATGGGAAACTAAAAAACTCTATCATGTGCATTTAGGCATGTCATTTTCTAGGGAAAAATCTGACATAATAGCATCGTGTTCTTGACTTATTCTGCAGGTGTCCACCATGGTAATGACTTCTTGTGGACATATGATTTATACATCCAATTCAATCACATGAGCAATCCTATAAAAGGTGCATATTTTCATAAAAGTCTAATAGGGGTAAAAATCTCATAGGGCATTTTAGCATGAAACTGGAAAATGAGTTGCTGTAGATCTGTAATCTCTTCTGCTGAAGTCATCATAACTGATCTGTGGGATCATGAATGACTATATCTTTTGGAAATTACATTTTATGCATTTAGAGAGGTGATGTCTAAGGAGATAGAAAGTATATGGCTGTATAAAATAACAGGTAGGTTTTTGAAGGAGCTATAAAATATTAGCCCTTTGAGTAGGAAAGACCTGTTCATCGTGTTATTGGGTCTTGTACAGGATAAAGTGTTTCAGTAATCCTTCTAGCATACTTTAAATATCTCAAGCTGGAGTGCTTTTAAAAGTACTTCCTTTGAAAAATTGTTAAACTCTACCAACCGATTGCTAGTTGGCATAAGTGAAGTTCTAACAGTGAGGAATATCTTTCTGGTATATCAAACTGATTTCTGTTTGAAAGAGGTTATATGCCCTAGCAATTTTCATATTTTCTATATGCAGAGCATAGGTTTTTATGTGAAATACAAAAAATGACCAAAAACACATCAGAACATTTCTATTAATTCATGAAATTAGGAAAACCTTTTTACATTTTCTCCTGTCACTGATTCCATTTGCTTTATTACTTTCAGCCTCTAGCCCGCAAACTTGGTGGCACAATCAACAAACCCCTTAGTGGCTGTTTCATCTCTGCTCTATTTGATTTCTCCACTCTGAGTAAATGATTAAGTTTTCATGCATTGGTTCAACCAAAATCTATGTTCACTCAACCACATCCTTTATTGATTACTTCTACTGCAAACAGTAGGCCAAGTGTGATATACATAATTGGACAGTTGTCAGGGGATGTGGGTGTTAACAGTCCTGTTTTCCCAATTGGAAATTGGAATCACCTTGATACACAAATATTCTGCACTGTTTCATTCTCATTCCTTGGACCAAGGAGTCCTTTTCCTCAGAATATATTTTTTTAACTCTCAAAGGTCTGGTTGAATGGATTTAATGATTATACCATATAATACGCTCTTCAAGTTGCACCTGTGCACTGCATATAGAAAACTAGAAAAACTGGAATTAATATTTGTCTAACACTTTAACCTTGTCCTTTAACTTATATAAATCATATGCTGTGTTTCTGTGGAGGAACATTTGATTTTCTCTTCTTAGGAAAAAAAAAAATATTTAAAAAAATGTGTTTCTAATTCTAAAATTCAGAAGCCTTTTGATGCTTGGCAGATGTTTACAGTACAGCATATTTAATGTTCTCATTATATTAAAATACTTAATTAGGAAACTGTAGTAAATCCAGCTCTGCTTATTGACAACTAAGGTTTATGGTAGCTTATAACATGTGGTAGCTGGTTTGCAGTGTTTTAGCATCTTTTTCTAGGAATCTAGCTCATCTCAGTCACATAGGTAATCACTGCAATATTGTAAATTTGCAGCCATGTTTTGTTGTGTTTCCTATTCTGGCAGGGTCTATCCTGTTATAATTACTCTAATGGGAGGGAATTGCAGACTTCTGACAGATTTTGAAAGCACATATCCCTAATATAGTTTATAATAAAAACTATAATGTAAATGAACCTCAGTCATTTGCTGCAGGAAGATAACTTTAAGGTGTTTTAAAATGGTGATAAATAAATCACAATTCTTTATCACTTACAGGAACTTCTATTTCTTGAGTTTCTTAATTAAGCCTAGATTTTTCTGGCTTGCTTGGTGGCTTGACATTTAGTATGCTACACTCCTACATTAGTGACTCAAGTTCATGGCTAATATTGAGGTCAGCTACAGCAACGCTTAAGCCTTAAAGGGAAAAAGAGCGTAGTGCCTTACTCACAAGCAAACCTAGATATCTATCTTATGTCTTGTAATCATACTGCAGAGATCGTCTATTGTTAATATGACTAGCTTTATTAAAAAATAAAGGAAATCTGCAAATGTTACTGTCAAAGTACATTAGCCAATTTTCAACTTAGATTCAGCTGTGACCTCAGGTTGCTCTGATCTCACTGGGATTTGGGGGTGACACCTGCAATCCACAGTTTATAGGTTTGCCTGTGTGATTCCAGCAGCCTTTTATCCACCCAGCCAAAGTGCAATATTGCATTCAGGGAAAGGCTGTTATCCCCAGAACTAAGAGACAGCACTGTTATGGAGCTACTGCTGCACCACCAGGGTTCTAGAGCAAGAAACGGCATCTCTGAATGACAGGAGCCCAAAAAAGCCTTAGTGAAAAACTAGCCTTTTACCTTCTTCCCCTATTTTTTCAGGATGTGGGGTCCTGCTATATTGAAAATATTATCAGCTGCTCAGTAGAAAAACCTGGAAAAAATGGAAACTCCAAAACCCCTATAAAATAATCCCCTGCATTTTCATTTGTGGCCGTAAAATATGGCACCATATTCAGAAGAAAAACTTTATTTCACTTAAAGGATCCAGTTCTGCCCTCAGGGGTTCTGTGTGGACTCGTCTTGTTGGTCTCAGCACAGGTAGTGCCCAGATGACTATTTCGGAAATAAAGTCCAATCATGAATGAGTCATCACAAAGTTGCTTCAGAACAGGCAGATAGTTCTTCAGCATTTGGAGAAACCTTCTGAGTGGTTTTTGTCCCTGTCCTTTGCTTCAGTCAGGGAAAAGCAGCTGAAACTACAAAGCACTTGGAAGAGTTCATGAAGGCTGCTGAGAACGCTCATCTAAGACAAAGCCTGGTGGATGCATGTGTATTACTTGGGAATATTTACAATGAAAAAGTAAGTATTGGTTGCAGTAACATGTCAAACAATTGGGTTTAATTCATGGTAAAAAAACTAAGTTTGCATAAGAGATGGCCCAGAATGATTTCATCCAGGTGTTATGTCTTACAAGATCTACCAAAGAAAATATTGTGTGACTAAATAAAATGTGCCATAAGTTTTTGGGTGAGGTGAAAAATTCACACCATATTTAACGCATAGGGGTTTGTTCTAGAAAAGGTGAATAAAAATTCCAAATTCAGATTATGGAAAATTTTCAATGTTGTGAAAATCTGCATCCGAATCACCATTCAAGCCTCATATGCCCATAAAGAGTTAACGCAAATGAAATTTTATTGTACTACACATTGAAATTCATGCTTTTTTAAAATGAATGTATACTATATTGAGTATTAATAAGCAGTATTTTATTTTAGCTTTTATTTTTTCTCTACATTCTCTCAGCTAAATTTAAAAAGTGGGTGCTATCAACAAATAGTTTGGCAAAAGTCTGTGCTGGTAGTGTGCTGGTAGTGGAAGTGCTTTTCCTCCTTTATGCCTCCATCCAGTCTGATGGCTTTGATTTGGCCTGTCTAAATGAATAGAGAGTCATTGATAGGCAATATTAAATTGAGACAGAGGTGACTAAGAAACTCCTTTATTATAGTTTCTAAGGTCTTTTGAAGTGCTTCTTTCAGACCCATGTGTCAGTCACTGAATGGTTCTGGGATGGATCCTGCAAAGGCAGCAGCTCTGTTGGCAGCCTGTTTGACTAGCGATTTCCATGCTTACTCTGTCCCTTACCGCATCTAGAGGTGTAGCACTTGCACTGCAGTAGCACTTTTTTTAAATGAGAAGAGTTAAAAACATTACTGCAGAAGTGAAAGATTCATGTTGAGCTCTCAAACACCTATTTTAGAGCTGAAATCTTACATGAAATTATTTAGATATAATGAGTAATAAAAACAATGTCCTGCAGCCTGTACACTGTGGAAATTAGGAAACAATTCCACTATGAACAAAATAAAACTAGAAATCCCATTTCAAAACCACCCTTTCTAGCTTCTGTGCCCTGATTTTTGTCAGAATTTCTTTTCCATGTGTAATATATTGAAGAGAATACTTGCCCCTTTTCACTTCCACTACCATCAGATGCCTTTGGGTTTTTTTCTGGATTTCTCTTACAGAGAAATCCCACTACCAAAGCTGCTGGCCCATTTCTTTTTTTTCATGAGCTGTAGAAAAAATTCTTACTCTGTTCCCTGTATTAGCTTAAGAGGCTTCTATTGTACATATATTCTTAGCATAAATGCTAAATTTCACATTGAAAATCAAGTTTTGAGTCCTTGAGAACTTGCTAAAGTAACTCTAAAATGGATCTAAAATTTAGAAGAAAGTAGAGTGATGTGACAGTGGCTAAATTATTCTACTCCAAATTCAAAAAATAATTAACTAAATTCTGCTTAACTATATCTCACTGCTTCTGCCACCATTGCTAATAATCAGTTCTATGAGAACTGATATTTTAAGAATTAACCACTTTTTGGTTATTATCTAAATTATCCTTCACATTTCAGAATTTGCTGCCTTGAACTGAGATAGTGGTGCAGAAGAGAAGAAAGTTAGTAACTTAATCTAATTAATTTACATAAAATATATAAATTAAACATAAAAAAAAAATCTTCTCAAGATTTACAATTCCCTATATTATACACCATTTTTTCTGCAAGGTCAGTAATGTTTACCAAAACTGAATCTAAAGTACCATTTCCTCTCTCGGGTCACTGCCTGCTTGGTGTCAGCTGTCATCACCAGTATTCCCTAATTCATTATTAGGGTATTTTTATTCAACTCTGTACTTCCCTGGTGACACAATTTGCAGTAGTACTATCCTTTTCATCGAATTAAAAGATATCTCCATTTATACCCAGATATGTCCTTAGGGAGCCCTTAGTAAACCAGGTATATAACTTTTACTGCTCTTCATAAAGTGACTTTGACCAAATTCACTTTGTTCTGTCCATGCTGTTGCTGTATCTTTACATTTCTGTCGTCTTACTATTCCATCATCATCACTGTCTTTCTTTAATGCTGAACAATTGGTTCATGCTTTCTAGACAGGCTTGGTTTACCCGTATGTTTCTTGTTTCCTAAAATGCCTTGGTTTGTGTAGTGTGCAAGTATTAGGTCTAATTTCTCCCAGTTTAAGTAATTTAAGTAAGTTAAGTAAGTTAAGAGTTCCTTACTTAATATGCAAACTCTGTCAGTTAACACGACACAGTGTTATTTTTCATTTTACTTTTCTCAAGTTTCTTAGCCTGATTTGTTGTATTCCTCTCACTAATTGCATCGCTTAACCTATTATAGTTCTCATGAGTATGATATGTAGATGTTTCTGCTTTTCATCTATTATCCTACTGCTTATTGTTCATTATTGTATCCCCATATGCCTGAATCTGCTCTCTTGTATTAAACAAAGCTTAAAGACTACCTGAATTTCTGTTACTCTTTCCTCCTTTTTAAATTACATGCACATTTTAGCAGTTATATAAATTTTGATCCCCAAAAGTAATATCAAGTGCAACAGGTATCAGTTGGAGTCTCTCCTCCTGGTTTATGCTCTATGCACAAGGAAATTTCAAATTTATTAAATTGAGCTGAGAGTGAAAGAATACAACATCTCTGGAAATGTTTTCACTCAGGAAGTTTGTGCCATCAGGGCAGCAGAATTCCACACCAATAAGAGAGAATGGAAGGCATCATCCAGAGGTGCTTTAATTTGTATTGTATGTACAAAATACTACAAAACCAGTTTTGCTCCTGAGAAAGATATGAGCAGTGTTATCTGGATTTTAGAGCTTAGGAAACAGCAAGGGAGGTTTGCTTAATACCTTGCCATGAGTCATTCTGTGGTCTGGCCTCTCAGCTGCAACATCTTTGAGGTGCCAGAGGAACAGGCTCTAACGATAATGTCAGGATAAAATACAGGTGTCTTGAAGTAGTTTTTACAATTTAATTTTTTTTCTTTCTTTACCAGGGGAGCTATAATGAAGCTTGTGAATATTTCAGTCAGGCTTACGAAACAGCAAAAACTTTAAATAATTTGCCCTTAGTGGATGAAACAAAAGCTTACTATGGCATTGCAAAGGCTCATAAGCTGATGGTGCCATTTAATAGCCATATAGTAGCAGAAGATCTCATCAGCCTCAAGTATCTGCTGGCATGGAAAGAGAACAGAAGTGACATGTGCACTGACCCTCTTACAGTTGGTAAGACATTGGTTATGAAACACATTAGTGCTGTATTGTCCTCAACAGTTAAGTCATTTTACTTGTAGGGTTTTATTAAGTTATTTCCTGGGTTTAATTCATGTGCTGAATGGGGTTAGATTTACTCCTTTGTCTGCTTATTTTAAAGGCTGAATTAAGTATGTTTAATAACAGGTAGAAACAGGGATAAAACGGGGAGAAAAAATATAACAACGAGAAACAGATAGTAGTAGTTGCTATGGATGGTAACTTACTTTTTTTCGGTGCTGTTTTCCAAAACATCATTATGGGCAAGCAGTGTTGTATTAGTTTATTCAATTTTCATTATTTTAATCCTTAAAAAAAAATTTAAAAATCTTCATTTCTGGACAGTTTTTCATGTGCATCCAAGGATAAGTTCCCTGTTTCTAAAAGTAAGAAATAATTTCTGCTTGATATAGGGGGCATAGTTTTGAATTCGGAAGAACATGCTATTTTATTTTTAGCATCCTTATACTTGACATTGGAGAGGAAGGAAGGAATAAAAAAAAAAAAACAAACCTACTCTGTTTCCTTCACTGTGTTTCCTTATCTGAGATAAAGGGTAGAGGAGGACTTTGTATGGAGTAGACCTCTTCATGGGTTAAATTTTCTTTACTTTTTTTTTCCCCTTTGCTATCTGTTAATACAAGAAAAACTGAATAATGCATTATCTCCAAGTATTGATAGTATAAACTATATTGTTCTTTGGAAGGAAAAGGGACAAGTGTACTACATCTTAAAGCTTTCCTCTCTGTATTCCTGTGGAGAGTGTGAATGTGGAGTATAGTGCAAATAAATGACAGCTGGGTCAAATTCATAACATGGAGCTTCAGAGTTACTGTGTCCAAATTCCCTCAGTTATCATACTCTCAAAGACAAAGAACTGCATGTCTGCTGTTTTCTTTTGTACCTTTTCCTTTAATAGCATTGGGAAATGAAGTATAACTTCAATTGTAAATTTTATATATAAAATAAGTGGTTTAATAGACTGATATTCAAAGATATTAGCAGCTTAATAGGAGCCAGGATACCAGAGGCAACACTGGAAGCAACTGAGAACTGTGGAACAAAGACATTCACTGGCATGCTAAAGTGATGACAAATTAGGTAGCACACTCTTTGGAGTTCTAGTGATGGTAACAGGGCAGTCCTTTCTCAATGATATTGGGTTTCTTTTTCAATGACTGTATATATTTATGATTTTTGCCTCAATAAGTGAATATTCAGCACATTCTTAGATTTTGGTGGCTGGCAGAATTAACTGGGTGCATGTCTCCTGCAAAGGACAGTAAGTTCCTAGACCTGTAGTGCACATGCCAAGAATTCCAATATGGTCAAAGAAGAATCCAATGTCAAGCAATTTTATATGTATTTCACATGAGGATCATTAGCTGTAGCTGATGTAAATAGGAGGCAAAGAAAAATCAACAATGGCAACAACAAAAGAACAGGAGCCTCAACAATATAGGATGATATTTGTATCTTCAACATTTATTTTACTTCTTTCACCTAAAGAGGTTTTCCATTCTACTTTTATACATTGCTTTCTCCAGTCAATGGTGAAACTTGTTTACATCCAAAAATGGTATGTGCCCCTTTAAGCTTGAGATTCACGCTTCTTTTTAACGGTACTTCAGGGATAAAAAGAGTATGATTAGAAAAACCCTTTATGTCCTGGCAAGCATGATGCCAGAAACAAGTTTTGCCTGCTGAGATTCTCTTCCTTCTGCATTTCTGCCTAGTTTACCCTCTGTTACTTTCAGTATTAGTTTTTATTTTAGTTCCAGTTAACTCCAGGAACCCTGTGGCTACTGCATATTTAGCATCTCTTCCAGTTCAGTATCATTCTTCTCATTAGTGCTCCAAGCTTACTCTCATGATACCCCAGATTACATCCAGGAAAACATAGTGTCACACTGTCAGCACAATCTGTAACATTCTTCATGTTTTGTGTGCCAAATCTCTCGTTATTACTGGCATTACATTTTTAATATCTTTGTCTGGCAAAACATGACCTGGCATTAATTCAATATTAGGATTCACTGGCTTTGAGTTTCAGGTACAGCCTTTATCCTACCTTCCAGGAGAATGTCTGTGCATCCTGTGATGAACTCATCACTTTGGAAATTCCTGCTGTGATAATAGAACAGTAATTCTAGCTCTTTCAAACAGCTCAGCATCAATAACCTACTAGATTTTTCTCAGTCTTTTTAGGATGAAACAGCTAAAGACAAGATACAATACTAATTCTTAATCCATGGGGGATTTAATGACAGGAAGGTAATAAATTTTTATTTCTGACTGAATAATGTTTCTGTCACAAAAAAAAAAAAAAATTTAAATCAGGGTAGTTTCTGTATTCTTAGACAGAATAAATACTTAGACTATTAGACAAGCAATGATATTTAAATTCAAGTACTGCCATGTACCTTATGTCTTTCAACCAAGACTTATTTTCTAAATCAATCATTTCAACAACTAGGCAGGAAGAACCATTAATTACTCAACTTATCTCAACATTTATTAATAAAATGGATGCTTTGACCAAAGTTGTCATGGACAAAAGGGACAGGATTGTCAGAAAACTGTGTTTATAAATGCAAAGGACAACGTTTCCATCTCCTGCATTTGACTTGGTCACCTGTCTTCGCTTACAAAAGGAATATTTATGCCATTGTGAGATGCCACTGCAAGAGCAAATAATTTTTTTATTGATCTGTCATGATTAGTCAAACATATTTTCAAAACAATCAGCAGAATCAGTAGATAAAAAGGCTTGTGACTCCGTGTTAGAACCTAAAAAAAGAACCTACAGCACGACTAACATTGATGAAAAAATATTTCACAAGTCTTTCAATAAATAATCTCCAAGGGAGAAGAATAATTAAAGGTGCTGAAGGCAGGAAAAATTTGGATCAGATTTTTTATATTGATTACATGAAATGCTGACCAGGAATTGTGTTTTCTGTGAGTCTGGAAACTTCTAGGTCATTGCATCTAGTAGGGCTGTGCCTCAGCAAGAGGTCTTTGATGCTTGAAATCATCTAAACACTTTTAAGAGTAGACTTAAAATGTATCATTTTCCTCATAATAAAAAGTCTTCTGTTGTTTTCTTGAGAAACGTTCTGTGCTTTTGAGAACAATTTAGATTACATTTCTTAACATCAGAGAAGTCTGAAAAATTGGCACATTTTACAATCACAGGTTTTCCGTGTTTTCTTATTTTGGTTTGGTCTTTTTTCTGTCTTTTTTCTTTTTTTTTTAATAGCTATAACTGCAGGGTAAATTATTGTCTTACCCATATCATCAATTGTGAGTCCTACAATCAACAGAATTATCTTGTACCATCAACTTCAGAACTATTTCTAGCATTCCTCTTTAGAACATGATAAACTGCATTTTTTACTGTCTCTTCTTTCTGAAGAACACTAATTCCAGGAAAACTTCTAACAGTACGAATCTTATCTTTCCTTCTTTAATAGGTACCTCAAATGCATGCTAAGGAAAATTGTTATGCCATGACACTGTACCCAAAATGCTCGACTGTACTTGAGCAAATCAAAGCCAGTCTTCATCAGGAACATGCATTGTAAATTATATTTTGATTTGCCCAGTAAATTTGCCTTGGTGGTAGCAGAGTTTGTGATCTGAGAATATTTAAAAGGGAAGGCATGGTGTACTGATCAGAACTATAAAACCAGCAAGTATTTGTACCTTACACAGATAAACATCCATAAAATAGTCTTTATGTGATATCAGTGGAAAGGTAGTGGCTTGGGTTAACAGGTTCCTTTCACTCCATATTTCATATTTAAAGCTCTATCACAGATTTTGGCCTATCGTGATACTGACGTAGGACTATCAGAATTATGCACATACATGCACTCCCTCAAAACTACTGTCTGTGTCTCTTATATTTATTACTTTAAAAGGTCTATTCTTCAGTTAGCATGTACAGAAGGGAAATATATATTAGCTTGTATGGTGACTGAAATTAGCATACAGTCACTATTTTAACATGTTTCTTTTTGATGGCATATTAGTGGGGTTTGTAACTATGTTGTCAAGTAAAGTTAGTGACAAAGTAGCTTGACTGAATTTGAACAGGGCAAACTATGACTTTCTTCCCAACCACTGCTGTAAAGACAATGGGAATGACTCAGACCCTCATTTTGGGAAGTCGAGAGCATGCCTGTGCCTCACAAGAACCCTCTGGGGTCCATCTTCCTCCCATCAGTCTGTTCACTGTGCAAGACTCTGGATGTAGGATCTGTAATGGACACTCCTTCAAGTTCTATATGTTTATGATATACGTCAATATCAAATTGTTAATATGACCAAAAATAATGAGAAATTGAAAGGACTTTAGAGACAGGTTTCAGTGTTTTCTGAGAAAATACAGCTGAACGTGGAATAAGGGAATTATACACTTGTTCCCACTATTAAATAAGAACTATGAATTTAAATTATTGAAAGGTATGTGACCAAGTACAGACTCCAAGGCTGTCCCTGTGCCAGAGCACAAAGGCTCGCTTCTTCATAAGCATGTTTCAGAAGTAGCTGAAATGCTTTAAGTGTTCCCCACTGAAATTCATAGGATAGCTTCTTCCCATTTTTGTGGGGTTTACTGATTTGAATAATTTGCTTTCTTCTGGAAAAATACTGTGGTTAGAAATGTCAAAATATGTACATTTAAAGAAAAATGATTAGGAAAAAAAAATGTAGAGGTGTTTCTGTCTTTATTATTCCCTGAAAATTTTCTAAACTCGTACTGCCTCTGCTTGTTCGTATCACCTAGCACTCACCAGTTGCTGAATTTTAGCTTTTCTCACTTTTCTGTTTAAAGAATCTCAGTCTTTTCTTTTTTTTTACTGCTGTACCTTTGATATTAATGCAAAATATCCTATGTAATTGTTGAAAACCAGCATGCTTACATATAGACATTGATGACATGGAACAGATGTGTTTCAGAAAATCAT